AGATGTAAAGTATTAAAATACATTTATATGTACATGAAATAAAAAATGTATGCAATGTGATATAGAACGTATTAGACATTCTGTAATATACAACATAGATAATATGTAATATACATGTCACTCTGTGTGTGTCTCAGAGACAGAGAGGAGCTTGAGGGAAGCAATCACTGCTATACCTATAATCAAAAGGATGAGAGCACACAGAATAAAGAATTTCTGCAAGTTAAAATATGAAAGCAGAACAAACCACACAAAAAGGGAAAGCAGAAATGACTCCATGGAAAGAACAGGAAGGAGAACAGGAGAATTAAAAATAAGAAAAGATTGGAGCTGGGCACTGGCACCTCATGCCTGTGATCTTAGCTACTTAGGAGGCTGAGATCCAAGGATCATGGTTCAAAGCCAGCCTGGGCAGCAAAGTCTGTGAGACTCTTATCTCCAATAAACCACTAGAAAACCGGAAGTGGTGCTGTGGCTCAAGCGGTAGAACGCTTGCTTGAGCAAAAGAGCTCTGGGATAGCACCCTACTCCCTGAGTTCAAGCCCTATCTATATCAGACAAAACAAAAGTAAATAAAACAGTTGGAGGCAGGGAAGGTAATGATAGGGGCCCAGATGTGTCACCAGAGAGTGCTTTGTTTAGGACTCTGGGACTCACTGAGGGACAGCAAAGGAGGGAGTGACATTTGGTCCAATGTGGCACATGACCCCTGGGTCAGGAAATTAGACAAGCTTATCTAAAGCTCACCGAGATCCATTGTCCTGCTGTCACACTGTATTCTAACAAACCAGGGAAACTTGTGAGTCAAGCAGAGACAGAAAAAAACCAAGAGAGCCTTCAGTGGATTGGTTTTGAATTTGCTTCTGCCTCTCAGCTTATTTCAGGTTAGAAAAAAAAATCTGTGGTGGTATTCCTCTAAACTCCCTTTCCTTTTAGATTCGAAAAGGTTCTAGCTAAAATCAAACAAGGCTGACTTGAGGCCAGGATTAGGAAAGGTATAATTAAGCAAGACTCAGCGGGACCATCTTTCTGGGGGAGGAGAAAAGGAGTGGAGAGGGACGGCACAGTTTCTCAAGAATAACAGAACAATGCACCCTACCTAACGTACGGGAGGGATGACAGAGGCTCACCCTTTAATCAAGATGAACACACAGCGGCCAAGTCCCGGTACTTTCCTGCAGCAGAAAGTAACTCTAACCCCAGGAAGGTTGGTGGATAGACACACACGTGCCCTGTCCTCAAACACGGCCATGTTAGTTAGCACTTGGTTTGACAAGTTCTTCCCATTTTAGGGTTGTACCTTTCCTTTTTGTATATTGTAATGATTAATCATTCCTCTAAAAGATATAATTTTTAATTTTTTCCATCTAAGCCACTTGCTCTGAGGTGATGAGCGTGATCTTACCTCGGCCCTCTCGGATTCACGTGACGATGAATTGACTATGGGAGCCCCAGGTTGGTTCATGGTTGGCTGCAGCCTTTAGAGGTTGTCCACGAATGTCCAGTAATGAGCTGAGCTATGAAAGACTGGAACCTCAAAACCCCTTTAGGGGAGGCGGCTTACAGAATCTGGTGTGGACTATCATTCCTACTTCTGGTTAATGCTTGCAAACAAATGACAATGGATTCAGAAAACATGTTCCCCTCTGCCCTGCCTCTGGTTATACCCCTGGCGACATAGTAGAGGAAAAGAAAACATCTACAGGATGTCCATGTGCATCCTGGGAGTGATCAATGCACATCACGATTTGTGTGCCCTATTGTGGGAATCCTGGAAATATATGATGTGGAAAAGGAACGGGTAACAAAGTAATGCGTTTGTTTATTTGGAGCTGTAAAACAAGTTCAGGAATACGTGAATCTTTCAGTCCAGAGTCCGGTGATGTATTCATTGCTGCAACTGAAAATGCTTCTTAGTCTTTTCTAACACGTCTGTGATCACCTTCACACAATTCATTATGGAAAGTGGGTGGCATAGGGCCACTACAAGCCCCACACTCCCATTTTTGTAGTTATACCAGGATATATTGGGGAGCTACAGAAATAGGTTATTTGTACCCACACTAAATGGCTGGAGAGACTGACTTTTTCCTTTGGAATAATAAAGCCTACTATTCACTTCTACCTTTTTTTCTCTTTATTCAAACAAAACGTCATTTCTTGAGAGTAACCTTACCCGTGTCTCCCAGGAACCTGACATTGCTATATTTCCCGTGACTTTGCTCAACCCTCCATCCTAACAATGAGTGTTGGCACACACTATTGCGCTTACATTGTTAATGGAGGTTAGATTTTGGTTGTACTCTACTTATTTCTGCTTTCTAACTGTTTAGCATGTATCAGGACTGCCTACCAAGCGTCCAACGAGTACTTGGTCAGCGGTCCCTAATCTTGTACACAGATTGGGCAATCAGGCAGGATTCTTGTTATGTTTGTAAAGTAAGAACATACGCATGAACTAAGTGCTGGTGGCTTATATCTGTCATCCTAGCTACCCAAGAGGCTGAGATCTGAGGATTGTAGTTCAAAGGCAGCCAGGGCAAGAAACATCTATGAGACTCTTATTTCCAATTAACCCACAAAACCAAAAGTAGAGCTGGGCCTCCAGTGGCACAGCCCTAGAGCCTTGAGGGGGAAAAAAAAGGGAGAGTACCTGAGCCCTCAGTTTGAGTCCCAGGATAGTTATGTGTGCACGTGTGCATACACACACACACACACACACACATATGCACAAACCTATGAGCAAACTGGCTGAGTGAGCTTGTGAAAAACTATTCTCTCATAATCTTCCCCTTTGTTTGTGATTTCTTCCAAGTTCAGGAGAATGTTTGGGGAACAGAGTTGGCTTCTCGAATACAGCAGTCCATATAACCGGGTCCATTCATCATGGTGACTATGAGCTGCGTTTGCAAACTAAGATTTCCCAGCCTACTTCACATTCTTGTAGGATCTGAATCCTACAGGAAACATCACAGTCGAAAGGAATCCTCAGAGCGAGACAAGCCTTCAAAGGGGACCTGTGTTCTTATAGAAAATACATATGCAATACTAGCTGGCCCATTTCTGGTCTCAGATCCTGAACAGCCAGAGATCAGTGATTTCCTTCTATCTGGCTTTATGCAGACACCAGGACAGAGAAAGAACGAACAAATGAACATTTAATATATTCACATTCTAAGATCGTGAATGTATTAAAATCTAATTTCTATTCAAGATTCGTTTTTCTTATTTCAAGGAATGAATATCATGCATGGTGTATTTTTAAGTGCAGCCTTGAATCTAGATCAGCATGTCATTATTTCAGAATTACTCTGCAAGGAGAAAGTCAACAACACAGCCTGAGAAAGACACGTGGTACTGACTTTTGTACTGACTTTTGTACTGACCTTTGTACTGACATTTGTACACGTGGTACTGACACATTATGTGTCTAGATAGAAGCGATTCTTTTTTTATTTTTTTGTGGGTTATGGGGCTTGAACTCAGGACCTAGGTGGTGTCCCTGAGCTCTTTTCACTCAAGGCTAGTGTTCTACCAATTTGAACCACAGCACCACTTCTGGTTTTCTATTGGTTAATTGGAGATAAGAGCCTCATGGACTTTCCTGTCTGGGCTGGCTTTGAACCAAGATCCTCAGATCTCAGCCTCTTGAGTAGCCAGGACTACAGGTGTGAGCTAGCCATGCCCACCTTTCTTTTCCCCTTTGGTATGAATTTGAGGGATTATTTGTGAACACTGTAAGGAAAGACTCTAAGAAAGCAACAAAGCAAAACTCTAGCAAAGCAGAAACTATTAATTCTTTTTTTTTTTGGTCAGTTGTGGGGCTTGAACTCTGGGACTGGGTGCTATCACTGAGCAAAAGAGCTCAAGGCTAGTGCTCTACCGCTTGAACCACAGTACCACTTCTGGTTTCTGGTGGTTTATTGGAGATAAGAGTCTCACGGACTTTCCTGCCCAGGCTGGCTTTGAACCTCAATCCTCAGATCTCAGCCTCCTGAGTAGCTAGGATGACAGGCGTGAGCCACTGGCACCCAGCGTGTACAGGGTTTTGCTCTGACAAGGGTCTCCTTTCCCCTCTACTGTTTCCCCCATTTTTCCTACTTTTCTTCCTTCTCTATATTCACAAGGACCTAGGGAGTCCCTAAGAAATGCTGTGGGCTTTGAAATAAGATGCTGCATTTCCAAGCCGAGGGAATTCAGCCCCTCTTCAGCACAGCAGGGATTCAAACCACAATGAGAGACAGCGGGTGCGGCCCGTGTAACGGGGATCCACTGGCCTGTGGTCCATGTCTACGACGACACACTCATTCGGAGTGCGACTTACGGACATTTAGCCAGTTATCGGTACAGGGTAGAAACGACAGTTGAACTTGTATCCACATCCCATTTCTTTTAAAGATGTGTTTCTCTTCAGGGATGGGGGAGCTTGTCATTTGATGGCTAGAATAGCTTTTAGGCTCTGTCTCTATGTCTGTCTGTCTGCTGGTAGTTCCTTCTTATTTCCTGTAGTCAGTGATGAACCTACCATTCATGTCCACTCACACCCTGCTCCACTTGAGGATATTTGAAAGTCAACACCAGTCCCTGGGGGACACTCCCAGACCCTTCTAGCAATCCCGTGCCACGGAACAGCTTGTTACGCAGTGTGCTGCCCCAATTGCATTTAGACTTCCGTTTCTTTTAGATAGCCACTTTTCCTTGGGCAGAGCTGCACCATGACCACAAATCAGGACAGCCAAACACTGCCGCCGATGAATGAATCCACATCCCACCGCCAGGAGGCCTAGCGGCCTCTCAGGGCACTCCTGGAATTCTCTGAAGGACTTGGAGAAAGTGCTCTTTGGGAGGTAGCACCTCTTCAGTCACCCTCCCGCCGTCCCCCAGGGGATGCATTTTGGTACTGTGGCGACGTCCTCAATAGTCCAAAGGTTATCACTGGTGAGTGTGAGACAGACCAGCCACAGCCGCTCAGCGAGGACAGCGCAGGGGCAGCGGCTTACCTGAGCTCCTTGAAGGGGTCGGCCCTCACATTGGGTGTTTCTATCGACTTGGGGAAGACTGTGCCCTCGGCTCCTGTGCACAAAAGACAAAAGCAAACACAGTTGGCGTGGTGGAGGATCACCCAAGTGTGAGGCATCCATTGTACCACATGTTACCCCAAATGCAGGTATTACCCACGACACACAGGGTACCCCGTCCGCATTTACTACCCAGAATGCAGATGCGACTCCCATCTGCACTTATTACCCAGAATGCACCTGCTGCTCAACCTCCATATAGTACTCAGAATGTACATAGGGTTCAATCTACATATATTACCCAGAATGCATGTGCTTTTTGATCTGCACATATTACCTAAAATGTATGTACTGTTCAATCTGCATATACCCAGAATGCACATACTGCTTAATTGGAATGTATTACTCAGATTATACCTACTGCTCAATCAGTACATACTTACTGCATATTACCCAGAATGCACAGGCTGCTCCATTCACATATATTACCCAGAATGCATGTACTGCCAATCCACACATATTACCCAGCATGCATGTACTGTTCACTCTGCAATATATTGCTCCAAATACACATACTGTTCAATCCACATATATTGCCCAGGATGCATGCATTTTCCATAATGCACGTACTATGCACTGTGCACATATTTTGCCACTGGCTTTAGAGCACAGGAAAGGACAGCCCTGAATCAAGTCATTCAAGCAAGCTTGAAACAAAACAAAACCAAGAAACATCTTTTCAAAGTGTTCTTGCAGAGATCAGAACAAGGCCACGAGGCAAATTCCATTTTGGCTTCAAAAAATAAAAAAGGAAAAAAAAAACAAAAGAAAAGAAAACCCTATCTGGAAACAGAAAGGTCTGCCTCTTATTGCTCATAAACCATTTGTAGTCATCTAACTGCAGGTGTTTGGAATACAGTAGCTGAGCCCTTTTACTGTGGGGTTGCTGAGGGCTGCGATCACATCCTAGCAGAGGGTTCCATGCTAGTATTTGTCTAAAGACAAGCGAGATTTTTCAGTGAAGTTTTGTACTAGTATGTCAAAAAACATAACATTATGGAAGATCACGGAAGTTCAGGACTGTCACACTCTGGGTATCAACACAGATCTCCAACTCAACCGAGACATTGAGCTCTTGATTGTGATAGTGAGCTGCTTTTTAATTTTGGTCAGTCATGGGGCCTGAACTCTGGGCCTGGGCGCTGTCCCTCAGCTCTTCAGCTCAAGGCAAGTGCTCTACCACTTGAGCCACAGCGCCACAGTGGTTTATTGGAAACAAGAGTCTCACAGACTTTTCTTGCCTGGGCTGGCTTTGAGCCACGATCCTCAGATCTCAGCCTCCTGAGTAGCTAGGATTGCAGGCGTGAGCCACTGATGCCAGCTTTGTGCTATTGAGCTTTTTTCCTAACATTTGTCACTGGGCTCTTTCCAGCCACAACAAAGTTATTGCTACTGATCCGTATGTTCCCTGCTCAAGCTCTGATCTTTTCAGCCTGTTTATCATAAGCACTTGCTCTGCGTATCCATTTTTTCAATTAAACTCAGAGAAACCAGTATCCTATGGGGTGAAAGTGAGAAGTTGACCTTTTCATTCGTGACTCAAGAAGAAGGACTGGGTCAGTTTGCAATTCAGGTGTGAATTTCCAGAGTCTCTCTTGCGTTGTTATAATGCTGAGAAGTTCAACATTATTATTCCAATCCTAAGTTTATCCTGGCATAATAATGAATCCAGGAAAATAAATTGGTTTCTTTATTTCTATAGCGAGTATTGAAATATTCAATCTCTTTTTGCTAGGACTAATAGACAATTGCAAATACAATCAGAGAATAACGCCTCTACTTAACACTGCAATGGTCATTACGGGAATATCTTGATGAATAATAATAATAGCTATTCTTCTAACCTACGATTGTGACTAAAACCTCCATCATATGCAGTCATGTGTACTAGCTCCCCAAGTTTCCACAACCGCCTCATAAAATTGACAGTGAGGATAGTCCCAAAGCTGGAATAGTCTTCCTTTTTTTCTTCTTTATCTCCAGTCTTGAGGCTTGAACTCAAGTCCTGGGTGCTGTCCCTGAGCTTCTCTGTGCTCCAGGCTAGAGCTCTACCACTTGAGCCACAGCACCGCTTCCAGCTGTTTCTGATTATTTTATTGGAGATAAGAGTCTCAACAGACTTTCCTGGCTTCAAACCACAAAAGATCCTCAGATCTCAGCCTCTTGAGTAGCTAGGATTACAGGCGTGAGCCACCAGCGCCTGGCTTAGTCTTCCTTTTGTAAGACTCCAAACCAGATTCTTTAACATCATTCCAAAGACATCAATATATCCATATACATTTAAAGCTTTTCATGTAAATTTCATACATGGTTTGCTCATGCATAAATGATTAATTTTGCCCCTGGGATTTCACTTTATTACATCCTGTACAACTGAATATAAATGAAGTGGAATAGACACTTCTACGTAGCTTTGGTTAAACATGTATTAAATTGGATTTTTTTTTCAGAGAACACTGTTTTACATCTCCTATACTGCTATGATCCTGTAAGGTAGGCACAGGCCCTGGGCAGGGTGCAGGCTGCCCCATGGAGGTCTCAGGACACGAGTAAAACACGGGGGTGTGGCCCCTGGCTATCTAACACCCACCAACACCCCCTAACCACTCGCCTCATGTGAGAGCAGCGCCCATCATCCTTGGGTACTGAGGAATCCGTCTTTCTTGGCCATGTGTACTTGAACACCATGCCTAAAACCAACTGTTACAGATCTCAGTAAGGCAAGGAGAGTTACTGGTGTGCGGTGCTACGTTGGCATCCTTGAGTTGCAGCTGAAGTCTGCTCCCACCCAGAATTGCATTAACAAAAAGAGAGCTTTTGCTTCTATTCAAAAACCAGCCTCAGTTGCCTGCGTTATCCACATGGGAAGTGAGTGCCCGCGACTGGACAGCTGTTCCCGTGACACCCCGCGACTGGACAGCCTTCATTATTGAGGCTGTTCCCATGACACCGTGACACCCCGGGTCTCACCCAGTGACATGCCAGCTCCTAATGTCATTTGTCAAAACATCTCCGGCTCAAGACTATCTCCCCAGCTCTGTGCTTTGATGGATGTGTGCATGCAGTTGGAGAGATGGTTCACTAAATATCAGAGCAATTATGTCAGAGGAGTTCTCCCGCTGGGACCCCAAGAAGGAATGACTTTTTCCTTAAAAATGGACTTCCAAAGCCTGAGCCAGTTCCAGCCTCTGTTCCAGCCTCTGTTTCTTCATTCGTCAAGATATAATGATGAAGCGGGTGCCGGCAGCTCACGCCTGTCATCCTAGCTACTCAGGAGGCTGAGATCTGAGATCACGGTTCAAGCCAGCTCAGACAGGAAAGTCCATGAGACTCTTATCTCCAATGAACCACCAGAAAACTGGGAGTGGCGCTGTGGTTCAAAGTGGTAGAGCGCTCACCTTGAGCAAAAAAGCTCAGGGACAGCGCCCAGGCCCCACAACTGACTCCCCCCCCCCAAAAAAAAATAGATGATGAATGCTCATCTGCTACTTAGTTTCTTTAAATACCCGATATTCTTGGTTCTGGAAAGAACTAAGTGCCTAGAGGTTCTCAGCCTCAAGGACTGCCCTCTGTAGCCCCAGTTACTCTTCTAGAAACAGTTTACAAGTCTGATGAGAATACTTTCCCAACATCGTTTCTTCCCAGGAGCTCTTACGGATCTGTCTTTCCACCCCTTCTTCGCCACAGACCACCATCCCTCGCCCACCCTCCATCCATCCTCACATGATGCCTTATTCTCAATTTGATTATTTCAAAAAAGGTTTCTATTAAAACCATACCTACCGATTCCCTCTCTTGACACAATATAATTTACTGGCAATAAATGTTCATAAACAGTTTGACTGAAAAATCCATAAAGCCATTTCAGCTTGATTTTAAGTTCTATTTAATGTCCCTCGAAAATGATTTCATCAATGTGTTTCCATTAGCTGGTTCTCTGCCCAATAACTTAATTCTATGCAATCTATCAGGAGCTTATAAAGCATGTGACAGGATCTATCTAAAGTGTTTTGAATCACCATAAAGATCAGCTCAATGGCTCTTTCTCCTACTAGTACAGGTAGGGGGTATACTTGTAAAAAAAAAAATCTCAAATGCACTTTGTTACCATAGTAACAGAAAGCCAGTTTCTCTCTAGAAATGATACTCGAGTGGAGAGCTCAGGTTCATCATGTTTTTCCTCCCATCAAAGTGCTCTGGATGCTGGGACCTCAGACCTACTCTTCTCTCTGTCCCTCCCTGTGGCTCACCACATACCTCTCTGGCCTTTGATTTCCTCAGCTGGCAAATGAGGAATGAATGCAGCATCAGTGGTAAACTGTCTTTCCCTGGAGTAAAAACTCCCATGAGCTTATGCTCAGACCTAAGTACACGATTATCTTTAGATAGCTACTTTCTCCACTCGGGGGAGAGGGACAGGATCCTGAAACATCAAAGGAATTTACTAGACAAAGAGGACGACAACAACAACAAAAAACAATAGGCTTTTATGTAATTTAAGCTGCAAGTTCCCACACTTGTTCTTTTTGTGGTACTGAGTATTGAACCCAGGGTTTTACCCAGGTACTGTACCCCAAGCCAAAACTGTTCTCATTGGTAGACGGTATCACCAGAAGTCTTAAAGGAGATAAAACGGTGGAAAGCAAAATTTACTGTAGTTAACACGAGTGACCTGAGGAAATTAAATTTGGTGGAGACAAAAACAATCCCTGTGGGCTGAATTAGAGAAAGAAGAACTTCGACAACATTTTTTAAAATCTGCAAAATTTCAAGATTTGCAAAATCTGACACAGGGAAAGGGGGTTGGGAAAAACAGAGACAGAAGTTATGCTTAGTGACGTGGATCCAGAAGACTGATAATAAGCCAGATCTGGTAGACATTATTCTAAATCACATCTTGTCATACAAGAAACAGAATTGATCTCCTAAACAATCATTTCAAGAAATCTTTTAAAAAGCCAAAAATGGTTTAAGGATACAGCATAGAAAATTGAT